GGGCACATCCCCCCTGGCTCCCCCCAAACACAGAGGGGACTGTGGGGACCTGAGAGCAGCAGTGATGCCACCCCCTGTTCCTGGCCGGGGAGGGGGCTCAGGGGGGCTGTGGGACCCTCTGTGCCAGCGGGGCAGCGTTTGGGGCACAGGGACAGGTCTGCACTGGAGCAGCAGGCAGGGAGGGCAAAGTGCCATGGTGATCCCATGGTGATCCTGCAGGAATTCCTGCCCGGGAATGCTCAGGGGGGATTAGACTGAGCCCCTGGCTGAGCCTGCCCAGGCCTGCCTGCSCCAGGGCCGGGGGTGGCTGAGCTGGCACTGTCTGCGCTGCGGGGAATGGGGTGAGAGGGCAGTGCCTCTGCTGCCACCAGCGCTGGCTGTCCCTGAGCAGGACACGGCTCCGTGCACAGCCAGGGTCCAAGGTCACCCCCCGCCTTTCCCCGGCCAGACTAAACACGGGAGGTGCCACCGTGCCCCCGATGGGCACACAGCCACCCCAGACCCCCGGGTGACCCCGGCCCAAGGTTCCCAGAGACGCCTCGGTGTCCCTGAGGTTCTGCTGCCTCCAGTCCTGGTGTCCCCACGTTCCATCCCCTGGTGATCCTGAGTCCTGGTCACCCAGTGACCCCACTGAGGCTCCGCTGTCCTTAACGAGGTGCTCCCAGTCTGTCCCAGTGTGTCCCCCACAAACCCAGCAGCTCCAGACCCAATCCCGCTCTCCCAGCCCCAGAGTGCCCCATTTCCCCGGTGATGAACGCGCTGTCCCTGTCCCTGCAGTCCCCAGCCCTCCTCCCTGTCCCCGGTGACCCTGCTGCTCACACTGCCTTACACCATTCCTGATCACCCGTGTGCTCCTTACACCATTCCTGATCACCCGTGTGCTCCTTACACCATTCCTGATCACCCCGTGTGCTCCGTGACCCCGCTTGAGGTGCCGCTGCCCAGCGCTGTCACCGCTGCCCCAGGCCCTGCGCCCATGCCCGGTGCCCCATCCCGGAGCTCTGTTCCCCATCCCCGGTGCCCCATCCCGGAGCTCTGTTCCCCATCCCGGTGCCACCATCCCGAAGATCTGCTCCCTGTCCCCGGTGTCCCCATCCCGGAGCTCTGTTCCCCATCCCGGTGCCACCATCCCGAAGATCTGCTCCCTGTCCCCGGTGTCCCCACCCCGGGGCTCTGCTCCCGTCCCCGGTGTCCCCGCTGTCCCCGGTGTCCCCGGTGTCCCCGCTGTCCCCGCTGTCCCCGGTGTCCCCGCGGCCCGCAGTGCCGGTGGCGGTGCCGGTGGCGGGGGGTGGCGGTGACCTTGTCCCCTCGGTCCCGGTGTGACACTCACCGGCGGCGGCGCGAGCCCCACGTGCCGCTGACAGCGGGCGCGCCGCGATGACGCAACAGTGGGCGGGGCCGCTCCGGTGCCGCTTCCGCGCGGCGGCGGCGCGCGCTGATGACGTT